AGTCTAATAACAATAAAGAAAATCTTTATGTTGATTTGTCAATGCTTTTTATGTATGAAGTTTAACGGACCTTTATCTATTACATATCTCCCAAATATTTTTCCCTGTTCAACCTTTGTCTTTGGTTTGATTTACTTCTTTGACACTCAAATTTTAAATCTGGTGATGCCCAATCTAACAATTTTTCCTTTAGTTTCCTCTTCTGTTTATCTTCTTAGAAATGCCTCCCCCACTGCTAATTTATCCAATGGCATAATCGCCTACGTTTCAGTCTAATCCTGGTTCATTATGTTTAATTTTTAAAATCTATCTGGAGTTGCTTTTGTTTGGGATCGAATTGTTTTTCTCCCAAAGAGTTAGCCAACTGCCCTGGTACCATTTATTAATTTATCTATGTTCACTGGCTAGAAGTACCACTCTATAATATAGTAAATGAGTCTATAAACTTAGGCTGTTTCTGTCTTTTCTATTCCGTTCCATTGAGCTGCCTTGTGCTGCTGCGAATTATCTGTAGACTTAAAAATACATTTACGTTTGCATTTCCAGTTCCTCTCCTTGTCCCCCTTCAACACCATCCTGCTTTTCTGATCTTTGTTCCCCTTCTGACAACATTGAGAAAATTTCTCTTCATTTTTTAAGTCTTTTTAAGTTTCTAGTACAATTTATGGTTTTATCAGGCACCTCAAAGGCAGGTCCCGTGACTGGCTCCCTGCCTCGTCGCCATACATCCAGAGTTTGGCACGGGGCAGGTGCTCAAGGAATGTTCGGAGCGAGATTGTGAGCAGGCGGAGGTGGGACAGTAGGAAGCACCCTGCGTGGGACAACGGGGCCACCGCCGTGGGCCAAGGCATGGGGGCGTCGAGGGGAGTGAGGACATACCCATCTCCGAAGTCCCAGCTGTAGAGAAAGGAGGCGGTCTTGAAGAAGTTGCTCGGGTCATGGAGGAGGAAGGAGATTTTAAGGGCTGTCTTGGCGAGATAGTTGGGCCAGGGCAGGGACGTGTTCTGCGTGACAACGAGGTTCCCCATGAGGAACTCTGGGAGAGAGAGACCAGCGGAAGGTGAGTCCATTGAGGAGGCAGGAGGGCGGAGCCAGGGAGTGACCTCACGTGCCCGCGGGCAGAGCGGCCTCTCTCCCACCTGACATTCTGGCTGTCACAGCTAGGTCGTGGCTGGATGAAGACGTTTGTTCTACAGCCATTTCTCTAAAAAAATATTTAAGAGCCGATTTTTCTCACCATAAAAGCAGGGAGTAAGGCGTGCTCGATCAAGCTCATCTGGAAAATGCCGAAAAGCAGATCGAAAAGAAAGGAAACAGCCTATCACTCAAATACAACCACCGCTGACACTTTGAAGAATTGCGAAGTAATGGTGTGTGCGTGTGTGTGAGGTATACGGTGTACTGAACACGGCTGATCGAATTCGTTATAGAATTTTGTGTTTTGCTTTTGAAAATTTTACAAACATGGGTGTTCGCCCAGGACATTACAAACTCTTTGTAAAGGTCATTATGACTCGTCATACAAGTTCTATCAATATACTTATCTGCTCCCTTTACAGTCGCATACTTAGCTTGTTTATATTTTCTTCTGCTATTACAAACATTGCGGTGAGATCCTTCGTGCATAAAGCATTACCCAAATGGAGGTGTATTTCCTGAAGATGAATGCTTTCAGAGCCTGTGAGCTCCAAGACAGCAGGGACTTCTTGGAAGGAGGGAAGTTGGGGGAGAGAGAGAATGAGAATGAATGGGCCAAAGAGTAAAATAATTTATAACCACTGACACATATAGATCAGCTGCTCTCCAAGGGGCTGTATTAATTTAGACCCCCAGCAGTAATACATACTTTGAGTGTCCATTTAAGCACAACACTGCCAGCAACGGGTATTACCATTTTCTGATCCTCCCTTAACTCCGCTAACAACGAAGAAGGAACCACGGGTCTAATTTGCATTTCCGTGATGACTAGCCAGGCCTGCCGGTTTTTCTCTGCACCAAGAGTCTGGAGGCAAATTAGCAAACAGGAAAGGTCCTCACCTGTGATGGAGAGGACGAGGAGGCTCCTTGCCACAGGCTGGCATATCCAGCAGTTGGCGGCGGTGACCCAGACGGAGACGGGGAAGTCCCCGGGCGTGTTCCCCACAGCGCGGATGGTTGAGCTGAAAGCCTCTTCAGTCTTTCCCGTGAGCAGCAGCGGGGTATGGATCCAATGGAAGCGGTAGAAGTGAAAGCTGGTGGGCAGGACCAGGCTGCCATTGTCACTGGCCACCAGGCTGGCCGTGACGGTCACCTCGACGCCCGTGGTGGCAGGGCTATCCGTGGTGAGGTGGAGCTCATACCGGCCTAGGAGCCCAGAAACAAACATTGCTTTTCAGGAGGGGACATGGCACCCTCTGGGCTAGCTTCTATCAGTCCATGTTACAGGTGGAGAAACGGAGGCCCAGCCAGCTCAAGTGACTTGCCCAGTACGGCTAGTTCATTGTCAAACTCGATTCAACCCCAGGCGCGACTGACTACAAATCACACAATGTTCTTTCTAGTGTCCCCAGTTTACATTACAGACCATGTGTGTGGCATGGGCCCGACCTGGCCAGACTTCTATGTTAGCTATGAAATGACTGCTCACGCGTGTCACGGGAGGAGCCACCACAGCTGCTGCCGAGAGATGCCCACCGTCACCTACTCTTTGGGCTAGTTTACACGTCAAGCAAAATGCCAATCGGAAACACAAAGCCGAGCCTGTTAGCGACCCACCGCCTTGACAGTGGAATAACAAGCCGTGGGAAGGAGATTCGAGCCAAGTCCCCGCGTTTCTCGGTCTGAATTTCTAAATCCGTAAAGTGAGAGGTTCTAGATCCACAATGTCCAATACAGTGGCCGCTAGCCAACCACGGCTAATTAAGTCTCAAGTAAAAGCAAGCGAAATTGAACACCCACTTTCCTCAGCCACGCTAGCCACATTTCAAGGGCTCAGTGGTCACATGTGGCTGACGGGCACCATTTTGGACACTGTGGATTTTGAATATCTTCATTATCACAGAAAGTTCCACTGGGCCTCACTGCTCTAAGTGACTTCAGGATTCCTGCCAGGGCCAACGCTGTAACTTCTATGATTCCAGTTGGGTCGACTCCTTGGGGAACTTGAACTACTGGGGATGCATCTCTTACAGGAAACCCCGGAATTAGTCTTGCAGGTTGCTACCAGAGAACAGAGTCTTCGGCATATGGGGAAGAGGCCAGGCTAGAGGCCTTTTAAATAACACTCCCCTCCCCTCCCGACCACACCGAGGGGAAGATTAATCTTAACCTGAAAACAAAGAAAAGTAGACAAATATTAAAACATAGTATTAAAAAGTAAAATAATCAGTAACAACTATTGTTACCATATTTGGACATTCCCTACTATTTTTTTAAAATCATGCCCTTACTCTGAGATTATATATTCTATTGTTTTTTTCTAATTCTATATATAGGTATTTTTCTAAGTCATTATTCTTCAACTGCTTTAGACAGCTACACAATATTTTACCATACAAACAAGGTAAGATTCTAAAAACAAGGCTTGTTTCCATCATAAAAGTAATCCATACACATAAGAACATTAAAAATGTCCTATCTCCTTCCTCCCAAAGACCACAGCTGCTGTCATATTGCTGTCCTCATGTCTCTTTTCCATGCATAAAACAATTCTGAATTGTTTTATTTTCACATGATAATATATCCGAAGCACGTCCATGGTCAGACCGATGTGAATTTCGGTATTTGCGCGCTAATCCCATCTAGCATTGTGAGCGGTGACACTGCGTCTCCGTAACTCTTTTCCTGTAATTTGTAGTTTTCCTCTGCAGGTGACATTTCTGCAGGGCTGGCGGTTACAGAGTATCCGGCCTGCTGCAGTGCACACCTGGGCACAAGAGGTGGGGCAGAAGGAAGCGGGGAGGGGCTGCTCGTTCCACTCCCTCCCACCCACCTTCAAGCGCCTTCTAAAGGCTGACGGAACCCAGCCACGCAGACCTACTTTTTGGGCTCCAGACCTGCGCTGAGCAATCAATACAAGAGCCACTAACCACATGTAATTAAGTTTATCAAAATTAATTAGTCAAATTTAATGAATACTAAAAATTCAGTTCCTCAGTTGCACGAGCCACACTTCAAGGGCTTAATAGCCATAGGTGGTTTAGTGGCTACTCTTCTAGATGACATAGATCCAGAACATTCCCTTCGTCACCCAAAGTCCCGCTGGACGGCACTGCTCTCGACCCTCTGGATTTCTCTCCTCCAGAGACCTACTATTGCCTTCGCCTAGCACCCTGTGTTGGGGTTAGAGGATCCGGCTGTCCCAAGAATCAACCCCCAGACCTCTGCCACCCTAACTGCTCCTTGGGCACCCTCCCCTCCTCTCCATCACTGTCGACGTTGCTCAAGGCCAGCATTCAGCCCTGGCTGGATTACTGCCACATCCTGTCCCCGACCCTTGGCCTCTAGTCCTGCCCTACACTCAGCCACCCCCAACAACGGGCTTCTAGCACGGGTAATCTGATCACGGGCCAGTCTCAGGGTGAAACCCAGATGCACGTGTCGGTCCGTCCACGCTGTAGCTGGCCACTTTACCTTTTCAGTTCCCCCCATGCTGTTCCCGTTGCCCTCCTCCGTCTATCTGTCCATAGACATCACCTCTTCCAGGAAGCCTTCCCCGAATGCCTCACCTCCTTGGTGCTCACCTAACAGCCTGAGCACACGGCTGTCACAACTCCATGTTCGAATGATAGTTTTGTTGTCCCCACCGCACTGCAAGCTCGCTGGGGGCTATGGTCACCTCCATCTCCCCTGTGCCTAGCAAAGTGCTTGGCACACAGTGAGTGTCCGACATTGCTGCCGCCGAGTGGCACCTGGAGTGAAGGGTGTGGCAGAGGCACCCACTCTCCTGGCAATGCCCCGGAAGACTGTTCACCTCGGGGATATGGACTGAGCCCTGTCCTTGGGCCCCACCCCAGAAGCGCAAGTCATGCCTCATGAGACCTGCAGTGAGTGTCCTCAACTCGGCCACATCCGCCGATGGCAACGCTGCCTGCCCTCACTGCTCCAGGCTTTCCCCTTGCCCATGTCCCAAAGAGAGAACTCCAGATGCTGTGGGAGAAGCTTTCCCAAGAAGATAAGGCGTGTATTTTCCATTGAGAGACCCAGTCCCCTGATCCCCTGGGACCAGGAGCAGATGTGCCCCATCCTGACTGAATTCTATTCGATCTTCCTCTGGCTGAGAGAGGTGCTCAGATAAGAAGCCATGCCTTGCCTTCTCCCTCCGCTCCTGCTCACCCCCAGGCCAAGAGTGGGGGCTGAAGTGAGGCTGGCAGGTGGTGTGGACATGTGGCTGGCTGCATGCTAATGGCCATGCAGCATCGGCAGCTAGACTGGCGCATGTCAGCACGACGCAGATCGGTTGCCAGGGGAATGGAATCCGGAGGGCAGCAGGATGAGGGGGAGGAGCAAAGGGTGGGGGAGGGGCCGTGGCTCCAGCCGACTGCGCAGACACTGGCGCAGCTCCTGGGAGAACCCCACCTGTCCAGGCACAAGAAGCCTCCAAACGCACTTTTTCCCCCTCAAGCTTTCTTTTCTTTTATCTTTTTAGAGCGGATGTTTCATAGCTTCTGGGTGATGCTGTCCCTCTTCCTCAGGGTTCTGGGAAGTGTCTAGGACATCCAGGCTGGAATGGACTGTGAAGGCTTTGCCACTTGTGGCTGGAGGAACTAAGCCCAGGTCCTGTTACTCTACCCATCCAAATCCATCTTTCTGAGTTCGGGGACCCAGATGCCACAGCCTTAGAGTATGGAGCAGCCAAGGAGGGGCTTCTGAAGTGCCACAGGTGCTGGGGAAGACCCAGCGCTGGAAGGGTCATGGCAAAATGATTAGGGGCCACTGCTGCAAAGCTTGACCCCTGGGAGCAAAAGCCACGAGCAGGCCCTAGGGCTTCGGCTCAGAGCACACGCATTTTCCCTGACAACACAGCATGAGGGGCCCCGAATATATACTTGTTGACAGCCCCAAACCTTTCCCAAGATGCCTCTGAGGTCTGGAGAAAACCACCTGGAATTAATTAATGGTCCAGGACATGGGCTTCTGAGTCGGACCCCTGGCGCAGGAAGCACTCTGCAGGGGCTGACCACACCCCAGGAGGCGGGGGAAGGGCGACCCAACCTCTATTTTTCCCCTGTGGATTTCCCCCAACCCCATTCTCAGCAATTTGAACATATCCTGTATGCAACAGGGAGGCTGGGGACTACACATGGCTTCCAAATAATGAATTCACTTTTTTTTTTTTTTGATAATTTAGGCCACATTGGTCATTTTGGATACATGTAACCTAATGGACAAGAGACCCCATTTCTATACGAATTTCTAGGGGAAAGTAAATGACCCTGACCAAGCATAATTCCCATAATTCTCTTACTTCATCCCTGAGATGTAAGTTTTTTTATTTGATCTTGTGGCTTTTATTTCACAAAATTGCCTTAAATCGCTTCCTCTGTCCCCCATTCTTTGAAGGCAGGTAATGAAAACTGTTGGATAATATTTAACACCCCTCCCATAGCTGCCCACGTCCCAACTGTCCCCCAACAACTCTCCAATCTGGGTCCTTTTTTTTTTTTTTTTGTCCCCAAAATAAGGCAGAAGAGTTAGTGCTGGCCTTCTGGCGGTGGGCGGTGGGGATGGTAGATGCGCGGCGGGGGACACGGAAGTGGGACCCGAAGGACCATGTTCGGGGTCCATTTTGGAAGTCATTCCCCGAGAGGAAATGGCAGACTGGCCGCCTGGGCTCTAAAATCGCGTCCTTCCCGAAGCCAACACAAACAGGGTGGAAAGGCTCTCCAGACACGGCGACATTTCAAGGCAAAAATGCTGCTTCTAGGGCAACCTGGTCGCGCCTCCTGGGAGGCTGTGGCGTGAGGACCGAACTCGCACATTCCCGGTCCCCGCATCGTCCTCCCCCACTCCCAGCGGCTGCGAGTTCCCCAAGTATCGGGATGGATGCGCCGGCCACCGCGCGCGGTTCCCAGGGCAAGGCCTATCTGGAGGTGGAACCGAGGGGCGCGGGGAACCCCACGAGTGGCGAGGCGACTTCTGGGGAGAGCGGTGAGGGGAGAGAGGAGAGGGCCTTGCGGCGCCCAGCTGGCCGTGTCCCCTCCGCAGGGCGGTGCCGGGGCTCGGGGGAGGAGGGAGGTGCGCGCAGGGCGCACGGTGCCAGCTCCGAAGCCCGGGCTCCCGGAGAGGCCCGGGGCGCGCCGCGGCTGGGGGAGGGCAGGCGGCCGGCTCGCGCAGCGCCTTACCTGCAGCCACCGCAGCCGGGGCCAAGGGCAGGAGGCAGGCGAGCCAGAGGATACGGCTGACGCGCGGCCAGAGGGCCAGGGCCATGGTGGCTCCGGGAGCGGCAGGAGCCCGCCAGGACGCGGCTCGACTCGGCTGTGCCTGAAGGTGCAGGCGCGGCGCTCGCTCGTCCTCGCTTGGGGACGCTGTGCCGCTGCGCGCCGCCGCCTCCCACAGCCAGCGGCGCCGACCCCGGCCCACGTCAGCCGCCGCGCGCCCCCTCCCTGCGCCCCCTCCCGCTTCCTTCCTTTCCCTCGCCGCACCTCCTCTCCGCACGATCTTCCCCTCCTCTCCCCACGATCCTCCCCATCCGATCCTCCCCACGATCCTCCCCATCGGCTTCCCGGGGTCCGCTCTCCTCCAGTCCCGCGCCCCTCCCTCCCTTTCCCGCATCTGCGCCTGTCGGCTCTGACTCAGTGTCCCCAGAGGAGCGTGAAGGGCTGCAGAGCCGCGAGAAGGCCCGTTTGGGCTCCTCTCCAGGTGCCTTCTCCGCTCATGACGCACACGGCTCGGAGATGCGCTCATTACTGAAGAAGCATTGAGCGCCGACTGTGTGCCAGGCGCTGGGCGACCTGCCTGGATCACCTCACATCCCTCCTGAAAAGAGGGGCTTGAGGACAGGGCCCCTGCGCTGGGGCTGATGTCATGCCTCAGTTTACCCTCTCTGCGCTTGCTATAGAATGGGGTTTGGGCTCATACCTGGAACCACTGTGATGTTGCTGTCACTGACGGCCTTGCGGAGCTCAGATAACCGCGACGAGGAGTGACCAGGCAGCTTCTCGGACACTCCTCGGCCTCAAGCAGTCATTTCCATCCGCCTCACAGTGCAGAACGTGTCTTTCCTCCTAGAGGCCAACCTGGTCTTGGTCTTAGCTCTGCCTGTTTTGCTCCGTACCGGGGCGAGGGATGGCACCTCCAGCCCGCAGGCCGTGCTGGGCTAAGATCGTACAACCCGCTGCACGGACGTTAAGGAGGCCGTAAAGGCCCCTGTCTTTCCCACAGCTGTGGGCTAAGCTATCTATCTCACTGTCGTGGAGCGGGGAACGGATTTGATGAAGCCCCCTTAGAAAAGTTAAAAATGCTAGACAGATGTCACTTACCAGTTGCATCAGGCACCGTCATGAGGACAAATGCCAGGCTTAGAAACCAGAAGACTTTGGATTTTCCCCGAGAGTTACATGACCTTGGGAAAGTCACTTTCCTCTCTGTGCCCCAATTCCTTTTTCTTTAAAATGGAATGACAGTCCCTACCCCCAAGAAGCTGTTGTAAGGATAAGATGAGTTTGTGCTTTGGACATGGTAAGCTCTCAATCGTGTTGGTAGGTCAAGCCAGCACTTTCCAGCTCTGTCCAGCTAACAAGGTAACCACGGGTTACCAGAAACCGCTCACTATTCAGCCACATCCATTGATGGAATCTGTAGGTGAGGCAGTGGCTGAGGTATGCGATGGTTCAAAAGGGTGCCCCTGGAGTCGAGTCCCAGTAATCGGCGGTAGGAGAGAATAGAGATGCTGAGCTTCGCCGCCTGATGAGGTCACGAAGGGGGCAGAATAAAAAAAATAAAAATAAAAAAAAAACCTCAGCTGAGTAGTACGCAGGCGCCACCGCTCGTTGCATTCTGGGAGTTGTAGTAATCAGCACGATATTGCTACCGGAGGACTACATTTCCCAAAAAGTCTGCCAAGCCCTGCGCGCACCTGCTGGAAGGAACCTGCTGCGCAAGGTGCTGGGAGTGAGAAGCGCGGTGTCCGAGTTGCCTGTTGGGTGGTCAGCGCGATGCCCAAGGCCAAGGGGAACACCCGGAGGCAGAAGTTTGGTTACAGTGTTAACTGGAATGCTGGATGGAATGTTGAAGGGGCCGGGGTCAGGAGGCCGCCGGCCGGATGACGGTTCCGCGGTCTCCTTCTCTTTTGCCCAAAGCTCCCACATCCGACATGCCTGGGACCATGCCAGATCCGTGCGGCAGAACCGGTTCGAGATGGGGTTGGCTGTGGACCTCGACAGGGCGGTGCCCTTTCGTTAGAGAAAGGTACTGGCAGGACGGGGTCCCGGCCCCTGCTCCCGCCCTCGCCGTACGGGGCTGGGTTTCAGAACTTGATCCTGCCCGTTACCTCCCTCCCGCCCTTTCTGGGTTTGCGACTTCCCCACAGTCAACTCAGCCAGCCTGCCCTTACCTGTCGAAAGTCCCTTTACGACCTCCCTCATACTTCCTCCCTGGCACACAATGGACCTGGGTTGGAGCTTCCTTGTTTCCCTGTCTCAATTTTTTTTTTTTTTTTAATCTCTGAAATTAACTTGCTTGGGGCCCTTGGCATCTCAGTAGTATTTTCCAGAATTTATTTTTTTCTACCCTTAACTTTCCTAATAAGGACTCCCCAGTTTGAGATCTTTACGTACTGTTTGTTCCTTACACCATCCCTCAGTCATCCCATCATCTTTGGTCTGGACCACCCTTTCAAAAATAGCACCCCCTTTCACTCCATAACTTCTTCCCTGCTTTATTTTAATTCATAGCACTTGCAGATACTTACTGGTATATATTTATTTGCTTAATCTGTGTATTGTCTGGGCCTCTAGCCCCCAGCATAATCTCCTCGGGTCAAGGACTTTGTGTTTGGCTCACTAATAAATCCCCAGTGGTCCTGGGAATCGCTCAATAAAATATCTTCATCTCTGTCCCCAGGACCTGGCACCAAGTAAAAATTATTAGTTTGGTGCTTTTCTCTTACCCGCTTGAGACTCAAAAGATGATGTGCCTCTCAGGTAGTTGCTGCTGAGTGATGATCGTGTCATAGGCAGAGCCTGGGCTTGTATCATAGGCTGAGGGGGAAGGTTCCAGCCCTGAACATGGGGATGGAGAGGTAAAACCCCTCAGATGGCTGGTGTAGCGACTCTTGCTGCTTGGGATTGCATAAAGGGGTGACCAGGCAGCTCAAATACAATGCCGCATTTCCCATCTCCTGGCTTCTCTCACCCCAGACCTAGAGGCAGAAGCCAGCCTCCCAGAAAGGAAATTCGCTGTCCCGGGACCTCACAGACTACGTACGCTACATGGTGGACCACGGGGAGGGCAAGGGGCGTGGCTCAGGCTGGCAGAAAGACCACCAGGCCCATTGGAAGGTGCCCTGGACCATTCGAGATCCGATCTGCTTGTCTAGGGCTTGTTTCCTGAGACCGGGTGGACACAAAAGGAAGACAGACTCTGGGACATGGATCCCACTGACAGTGCACATAGCGGGGTAGATGGAGCTGCTGTCCCAGATACGATGTCTTCTTTGCATGGTGTTGTTAAAGAACTTGAACTAGTTGCCATTTTAATTATGGGAGGTTTCAAATAAACATTCATATGTTCAGGTTCTGTTAAAAATCAAAAAGATCTGGCTAATAGGACCCCTGCGCCTACAAAAGATTAGGTGGCTATGGATGGAGCATGAGCCGCTCAGCTGGCTCCAGCTCCTGCCCCGTCCCTGTGGACATCTGCACCCATTTCCCCACATACATCGTGTCTTTTGAGAGGAGGAATCAACCTCAGGGACAGAAAGTGGCTTGCCAACAGAGCCAGCATAGGAACCTGTGCCTGTCCAGCCCACGAGTGGCCCTTCTCCCTTCTTAGACAATGGCCCAGAATGAGAATTACTATCAAGATATCCCGAAACAGATTTGGAATAAGATTAACATCTATGAGCGTCTTCACGCAACGGAGGGGCAAGCCTCCGTTCATTCTTTGCAGAATAAGATGGAAGCTGAGTGACCGGTTTATACCTGCCCCAGGCTGAGGCTTCCTCCTAGATCCAGGAAGCTGGAGCCAGGGTTTAAGGCAGGGAGGGGCATGGGGTGACAGATGAGGCTGGCCAAACCCACTCTCTGGGGCCAGGCCTGCCTGACTTGGGTGACATGAGTAGGTGATGACTGTCCCATAGCAGGATCGCAGACAGGGTAGGGTGGGCACTGGGCATATTCTTAGTCTTGATACTTTATCCTCAGTTACTGATAATACAGAAATCCTCTCATCCCTAAAGTTTCTCCCACAAGCACCTAAAATGTCTCTTCTCACTGCTCCTAAGGGCTTAATGTTTTTACATAGATCATTTCACATAAAACCCTGTAAGGTGTGTGGTTTTATCCTCCTCTCACAGGTAAAGAAACAGGCTTGAGAGGTGTCAAGAGAGGAGAGAGACTGAAGTCAGGTCTTTCCAACAACTAAGCCTAGGCTGTTACTTGCTGTCCTCCCCCCGTGGCTCCTGAAGGCAGCCCATCTGTCCCACACATCGGGGCAGGCTGGGGGGGTCCCAGAAACCCCTTCCCTACAGGACCCAGCCTGCCCAGACTCCAGCAGTGACTGGTCACCAAGCACCTCGAGCACAGGCTTTAGGATCCAGTCTGCAGCATGGCTCCAAAGGGCCTCTGCCCTGGGCCTCACAGCATCTCAAACTCAGGCCTTTGACTAGGCTGACTCCTTACCTTGTTTCTGTGCCTGTTTTAGGAAGTCTTCCCTACCGTTACTCCCTGCCCCCAGGCTGTTTAAGTGTCCTGTGGTCCCTATGCCAGACTTCCTGTAGCAATACCGTTCACGATCATAACTGCATTTTAATCTGCTCGATGTCCCCTACTAGCCTGGGTGCCCACTCCACACCTTGGCTGTCCCCCAGAAGGTACTGAGACAGGCCAAAGCTGGTGATCCTTACCACCCCACCCTTGTGTGGGCTGAAGGGCCAGGGGACTGGGACTTGTCGTTGACAAACTATTGCAGGAAGAGTTCAGGGACCACCCTCTGTAGTGGCCCTTACCGGGAGGGGTAAGTACCCAACACACACTCAGAGTGTTCAAATGAAACCACGTTCAAGTTTTTGGCATTTATTGTGCATTCCCTAAGCTGCTGCCTGCACTCTCTCAGTCTGCCCCTGGCAACCCTGTGGGTCCGGGTCTGCAAGGCATGGGCGGGGTGGCAAGGCCTCTGAACTTTCTGAGCTTGAATGGGACTTCGCTGCCCCTAACAGGCCCACCTCTTAGGCAGCACATGAGGAAAGGCTGGAGGTCCCCTTCCGGAGCTGCCAGAAAGGACTGTGGGGATGTGTGAGTGGACAGCAGGCGTCAGGCACGTTGCTCGGACTGCCCGCTCTGAGGTCTGGCACGAGGATGGCACCAAGGGCGAGTTTCAGCAGCTGGTGCGAAACGCCGGCCATCAGGGCTAAACTAGCGTTAAGAACAAAGTGTCTTTCAAAGGCGAGTGGAAGCGGTTCTGGAGAATCTGGTGTTTCCTTTAAGCAGACAGGCCAGACCTGTGTGATTTCCATCAGGATCTGCAGAGGACTGGGGGGCTGTGATGGACCCACTTCACCCCCCCCGCCCCGCCCCCCGTCTTACGGCTGGTTCCACTGTGTCAGTAGAAGCTTACAGTGGGCCCTTCTGGGCACCGAGAGGTACTCGAGGAGGCCTCTTGGGATGGGCAGTCAGTCCAAGGTGGTGGTCCCAGCAGCCTCAAGAGCCCTCCTGCCCAGACCGTCCACATGTTTACGCTCCGGGCGAGGCTGGCCTCTCCTTACTGGGATGCCAACAGGTCACTGAATGGAACACCAGAAGCCATGATTTCATTTGGATGACCCGTAAGAACAGATGCCCGGTGCCAGGGTGAGTGGTCCAGGCACAGCTTCTACAAGCACAAAGAGCAGAGCGTTCCTTTCAGTCTGTCACGTGAGAGCTGCCCAGACACCTAATCCCTGTTCTCACACTCAGGAGGGTTGGGAGCTGTAGAGTCAGGGCCGTGCCACCCAGGTGG